AATAGTTTTTCGACAATGGGTGAGTTAGTATGTGAAAGTCAAAATAATTTGTAAATATCTGATATATATATAATAAAGATAAGCCATGTTGACCTGACTGTGAGTTAAAAAAAAAAAAAAATTAGTAAAAAAAGTTATATTATAATCTATTTATTAAATAAATAAATTAAACTAAAAATTAGATAGATAATATACAATTATTAATAGTATATCAAATTACTTGGTGATAAGTTTTTATAACTTTTAATTATTATATTTTTTAAATTAATCTTTTCTATATACTATACAGTGGCAAGCAAAAGAAACTGATCACTTAAAAGAATCATGATTTTTTTAAATATTTTAATAAGTATAATAAATAAAAAAATTAAAATAAAATTTTATTTTTATTTACAATTAATAAGATTTTTTTAATATTATTTGCGCGCATCTTATCTATATGTATAATTGTGCAGACTAACTTTTAACTTTTTGATCTGCATTATACCGCATATATACAATTTTATGCATATATCCAAAAAAGGCTAGAGGGCTAAGGAGCTACAATATATATAAATAAAAAATTTCCCAGGTATATTCCTTGCCATCTGTCAAAATTTTAAACTGCCATGCCCCAAACATCTCTTGAACAGCATGTTAGAATTCACTCTCCTTACTGAAGGTTATAGTATCCGAAATGTTGCAAAACAAGAAGATGTCACTCAATCAACAGTCGTAGATATAAGAAAAGGATATAATGAAACAAAAAACTTCAAAAATAAAAAAAAATCAGGCTAGCCACGGATTTTTGGGGTCTGTAATGAACAAAAAATTCTTCGGTATATATCTTCGGGGCAGTGTTCAACGGCAATAGATGTCCAAAAAAAGCTGTTAGTTGAATATAATATTAAAGTTTCGCGTGATACTATAGTCCGGATATTCAAAAGAAATGGTTTATGTTCAAGAATTAAACGAAAAAGGCCATATCTCTGACCAGCACATCGAAAGAAATGACTAGCTTTTACTCGAAAATATCGAAGTTGGACAGTTGATGACTGAAAGCATATAATCTGGTCTGATGAAAGTAAGTTTATGATTTTTGGGTCTGACAGCTATCAGTATTGCTGGAAGAAACATGATGAACCACTTCGAAGCCAGCACGTAAAGCCAACAGTAAAATTTGGTGGTGGAAATATTATAGTATGGGGTTGCTTTACTTCACAAGGCATTGGAAGTCTTTGTCGTATTGTTGGCCATATGAATGCAAAGATGTATCAGCAAATTTTTGGCAGGTATTTTTTGGGTACACTCTCAAATTATAATTTAAAAATCGAGGATGTCATTTTCCAGCAGGATAATGACCCCAAACATACGGCAAAGACAATGAAGAAGTGGTTTGATAATAAATCAGTTACTGTTCTTGAATGGCCCCCTCAATCTCCAGACTTAAATCCCATAGAATACCTATGGAATGAAGCTGATCGACATCTCCACAACCTTCCCGAGAAAATTTCTGGTCAGGATGACTTCTGGAAAAAAATTTATGACATTTGGAATAGCATAGAGGTTGATGTTTGTATAAAATTAATTGAGTCTATGTCAGAAAGAGTAAATGATATACTAAAAGTCAAGGGCAGATACACAAGATGGTAGCGAAAATATATTTATTTTTGTAAAGAAATTTTTTTTATATCTCGCCATTCCATTGATAATAAAAAAAAAAAAAAATGTATTTTCTTGGCAAAATCATATTAAATAAAAAAATTTTTTTAATTATTTGAAAATAATATAATCATAATTAAATAAATATAATAAAAATAAAGTTTTTTAAATGATATATTTAAATAAATTTTATTTATATTTTTTATTTATTGTATTTATTAAAATATTTAAAAAATTTTAAAAATTTTTAAGTGATCAGTTTCTTTTGCTTGCCACTGTATAGAATCTCAAATCAGCAAGACTTTCATGAATATTTAGCTGTAATTTCTTTAAATCGTAAATATAATATATAATTAAAATTCAGCAAATATGTGAATTTTGGCAAATGTCTAATGATTTTTTGAGGAAAATTTTAATAAAATATATAATAAAAATGGTATAAATATGTCAAATTACATAATAGAAATTTATTGCCAAATTATTTATGTCAAATTATATAGTAGAAATTGATTAATAATTTATTTATGCCAAATTATATGGTAAAAATTAATTGATGATTTATTTATATCATTAATATGTCGAATTATTTATTTTTTTAATAAATGTTATATGAGTGACATTATGCGAATAAATATTTTTTGACTAGTGATAATCAATACCCTCTAAAATAACTTGATTTTTCATACCATTTTTTTTTTTTTTATTTTTTATTATCAATATTTCAAGTGCTTGCAAAGTATGTTGATCTGTTGATAATTGATTATAATGATAATCCATATGATATACTTCTTCTTTATCTTCTCATTATTTTTTTATAGGTGATACTATTTTTTTGATCCAATTTTGAAACAATTCACAAGTTATACATTTTATATTTTCTAGTAAAAATTGTAGCAATTTTAATTTATTAATAACTTAAATTTTTAATAATTTGTAATGTTTAAAAAATACCTGTCACTTCAATTTTAATTTCTCATTTAACCCTGTAAAAGTTGCCTTCATCAAAATCCCCTTTACTATAGGCAAATTCTTTATTATTAACATGTTATATTCTTTTTAGACAAGTAGTTGCAATTGCATAATACAAAATTGAGGTTGATGTGAACAAATTTGCTATATATCCAAGTTATATAGGTTTCATATAGATCTAAAGGATAGTTTAAATATATATTTTTATTATTGAAAGAAACTATAATTCTTTTGTCAGAAACATCATATTTGTTGTTATATAGCTAGAATAGATCACATTTTTCTATTTTTTTTTTGTATATTTGAGGTCATATTTTTAGGAAATATATGCATAGCATAATTGAAAATAAAACTATTTATCATTATAACTTTCTCTTCTTGCAAATATTGCCTTTTGGACCCTTGTAATTCAACAAGTATGTTATGCACATGGGTAAATATTCCACTTTCTCTTATCGAAAAATACTTGCAAACATTAACATTAATAAAGTTTTAAAAATTAAAAACTTAAGTTTAGTTAAATATAAGGATCTATAGGTCAATAGCATAGTGGTAGTGCTCCCAGATCGTAATTACAAGATTCAGAGTTCAATACCACATGAGGACCAAGTAAAAATTCAGCTACAAGGTGGTATAAAGATCTCATCCCCCCTATGATGATAATAAAGTGCTTCATAAGGCAATAAGGAGAATCCGTATATTCATCATGCCTATAGTAAGAATGACAAATCAACACAAGGTTCTATATAAGGCTAGCATGAGTAACATGAGGCCTCCACATACAACTGAACTCAGGTATCTAATAGGAAAGTGAAGAAGGATCCTATCCACTTATCACAGCCATAACAAGACAAGATATACACAAGGTTCCATAAATATGGCCAAAAATAGGTAACACGAGTTTCCAGAAACACAAATAAGATCATCTCTCAAATAAGAAAAGAAGGATCCGATCACTCATAGAGCTGACCATAACAGATCCATAACAAGTCAAAAATTTAGTCCAGTATGATGTTGAAAGAAACATAACAGGTTCCGATATTCAAGACTACTAATTGAGAGATAAATGTTCTTTACATAAGACCGGTATTCCAATTAAGTAACCAGACAGTACGAAAAATACAACAAGCCCTCAGAAAAAATTTAAAGTGCTAACGGAGCCAATAGGATTCTGTATAAGAGACCCCCAACATTGGTGATGCTGGGCATCTTAGGCAAGTTCCTGACACGTTAGCTCCCCTATAAGGGAATAGCAACAGAGTCATCCGATGGACTATGTCCTAGGAAGTGCCATTTCTGAAGATTCAAGATAATAGGTAGGATCACTTTATTAGATTGAATGTATTAAAACTTCCCTATATCCTTAGCTGAGTTAGAATTAAGAAAAAGTCTTACACTAGATGGTCACATAGTTATTCTATTCTGATTGAGTAAGATGTAAATAGATGCCTCTTGTACTATTCATTGATCTGTAAATCCTTAGACAGTATGGGTAATTACTCATCCCAGTTGTTCCTAGGACTCATCTTGACTTTAATAAAGCTTCAGAACTGGTGCAGGAATGAGCTAGCCTTTAAAAAAAAAAAATTTAATTAAAATAATTTATATTTATTTAATAATATCAATCTTAATTTTTTTAAAAAATTTTACTGTATATATTAAGTTGTATAAATATTACAGGTTATGTATTATTTTATAACAAAATAATTTTTAATTAAAATAAAAATATTAAAATAATAATAATAACAAAGTTATAAAATAGTCTTAAATAAAATTAATTTTTAGATATTTAAGTATTTATATTTTAAGTTTGATTTAATTTAAATAATTCTTTATTAAATTAAATATATTTTAAAAAAGGCAATCTTTTGTCCCTTACTGTATTTGTATATACATAGTCTGATCGTAACAAATTTGTCACAGTTTCCTAACGCTAAAGACTCCGAATTTTCTGAAATCACATGACCATGGCATTTCTCGAGCAAGCAGTCAAATCAAGTTACTCGTATGAAAATTGGATTTCAGATTTGAATGAAACCTTATCAAGCTGGACCATAACAGAACTGTTTGCCCTCCACATTGTCATCCCTTAATTTCACTACTTTGGCCTTAAGCTTAGAAATTGCATTATGACACCTTGCATTTTCAGCAACAGTATCTGTTCTACCCTTCTCTAACTCTTCGATTCTACTCTTGAGCTCAGCCCCTAGCTTTATCATATTTGGCCTTAACATCAAGCCCAGTAATCTTAATCATAAGTCTGACGTTCTCCTGTCTAAGAAAGTTAATCCCGGATACCATTTTTTAAAGCACTTTTTACATACAATATACAAGCATTCAAATAAAATAAACACATGATGGACCGTGATCGTGCATTGATTGGTATTTTTACAAACAAAAATCTTTATTTAACATATGATAATCATTGATATACAAATTGTGATGAATTTCTGCTATAAAAATACCGAACTATATCCCATCAGGTAATGGACCTTCAGCTTTCAATCCTCGTCGGGCACGCGACAAATCTAAGAAAAACAATTTTATCAATCTGTTTTTTTTAAGCTTACAATCAGTGAAAGCCGGTAAGATTCGCTTCGGCTTGTCGAGTCTGATTCGGTTATTCCGATCTCGTGCATTGTTGAGATCTTGTCTAGGAAACGAAGAAAATAACTGATCCACGTAAATCTCTTCCTATTCTCGCCTCGAGATCATTGTAAACAGGCAAAAAATCCCGCTCGTACGAAACAAACGATCCCACGACAGGTAAGTTGTCATGTAACAATAGATGTGAGGAAAATGTGACAACTTGTTCAGGCCAAAATGCTACCACAATCTCGAGTTGGGGACCTTCGAAGTCTCCAAGGATGACTAAGCAATAGAGAAGATTTGGCTCATCATGCTCATCCTAATGGAAGTCACTGATCGTACTAAAATTAATCGCAATCGTAGGAAAAATCTCGAATGGACGTGGCGAGGACCTCAATTATAATGACAGTCTCTTAAGGTCAGAAATTTTCAGAGAATTTCGAGAACACTGGAATCACTTCCCGAATGAGCATTTCTATTAACAGATATCGTATGGTTATATTGTACTTGACTTAATTTTTACTTCTTTAGACGATATCAGATTCGAATTAGATTTGATGCTAGAAAAAAAAACTTGTCAATATTAGAATGTCCTTTATAGAAACTATACTTCGAACATCCACTAAGAACTTAAAAATACACTTATCACGGGATTGCAAGGTGTGTTCTGATTTTCCAGAACACTAAAAGTCAGACCCAGAGCACTGTCTCTGAAAGACAATAACTGTCTCCATTCTTTGATCCTTATATCTTCGTATTTTTTTTTTCTCGACTTATAAAATGACATGTTTTACAATGAAGGGTGGTATCGCGAAACGAATAGATTATTGAGTCAAGCTACCAAATGGTGATTATGCGTTTATTTCACCCAAACTTGCCGAAGCAAACTAATGTCAAGTAACTTGAATAACTCTCCTATCACTAATGTGTCACATAAAATAAATACAATGAAAAATGATAATAAACATACTTTCGATGGATCAAAAATTATATAAAGTGAGGTAAGAGAGTGACGTGACAGACGGTACGTTATCTTCCGATTTGCGAGATATCCTTGTCTAACTTCTTTTTGCTATTAACATTGTGGGATAAGTAGCTACATTTATAACTCGGAACCAAGAGTCCAGACTTAGCCTTACTCGAAGAAGAACCAAGTTAATCACGAGTAAAGGAGCCCGTATTGACCGTAATAATCCTAGAGACACACACGAGGCGTGTTTTCTTCTGAATATCGGTAACCGTCCACTTCCGAAACATACACAAGGCATATTTTTTCAGCTTCTTGGTAACCATCCACCTACCAAACACACGAGGCGTTTCTCAGTTTCTTGGTGACCGTCCACCTACCAAACACACGAAGCGTTTCTTGGCTTTCGGTAGAACTTTTCTATCCCAAAGTTTAAAAGACATGTCAGTTGTCAACTTAGCTTATTTATTTATTCTATA